TCATTGACCCGTACAACAGTTACTACGTGTGAGTATACTGTTGTCCGTTAACGGACCCACACATTCACACAACGTTAAGGGGAGGCAAACCAAGCAATTCCCGTCGGAACTGGTCATTCCCCTAACAATATTTATTTGAATTAACTATATTTGAATGGTTAGGGAAAATGTGTTTATATCCATATACCGTATGTTTGATTCTTCTATATGTAATTATTAGTGAATTATTTGTATGCATTTTTTCGGATAATGTTTTTATAATTTGTGTTGACTTCACGTGACTTAACTGAAAATCAAAAGAAATCATTACATCATATGAGAGAGTAAAATAAGGAGAGAAGAAAAGTTGAGTACATTTTTGCGGTGAAAACAGGTATTGAATATCACACACAACTCATATGTAATGCAAATATAATAATAGTTATTTAAAGTGCAAATTAAAGCGTGTATTATATTTAAATCATTGATCATATCTGAGTAAATAGCTATGGGTTTGCAAAATATTGGTATTGATAATTCAACTCATATGTAATGCAAATATAATAATAGTTATTTAAAGTGCAAATTAAAGCGTGTATTATATTTAAATCATTGATCATATCTGAGTAAATAGCTATGGGTTTGCAAAATATTGGTATTGATAATAAAGTGGTCCATCATTTGGGCATTTCTTTGCCTCAATAAGTGTTGCGCCAGAATATGTGAGTTAAGCCAAGAGTTAGCGCTTGGGTTAAGTGACCTAAAATTAGTTTTGCAATCCGAGGGCAATACACAAACAAATACCGACACATGTATACAACACATACGCACAGGTATATGAAAATATTGCACTTTTCAGAGTACAGTCTAACGAGATATTAAAAATGCCTTCAAAAAAGGTCATACACTGTACGCCAATGTCTGGAAATATTGCGCTTATTCTCTATGTTTCGGTAAATTTGTTGTAAACTTTATTTTATAAGTTTTGAAACGGCATTACATTTTTGGTCAAACAAATGTGTGATAAGTTTTTTCTGGAAAATATTTGATGAATTGATAAAATGTTTAGACTTTTTTGCATTTGTTTTTATTAAAACCATAAACTATATTCATTAATCGCATTGCAATCACATTTCTGGTGAGTTTTAATTAAAGTATTTTTGTAATAAAATATTCACATATTTAATTATGTTTTAATGCAAATACTATGTGTTAATATTGTAATTGTAATCATATATCATGTACAGTATTAGACAATATTTATAAAAATCCAACCAATATTAACGTATAAAATGTAATAATACAGTAAATTAACAGGAAATAAGTGGAGGGTTGGCTCACAACCACTCATACCATACATAACATTATTGTCGCTGAAATTAAATTCATGAAATAAATTCAACCAATATTAACGTATAAAATGTAATAATACAGTAAATTAACAGGAAATAAGTGGAGGGTTGGCTCACAACCACTCATACCATACATAACATTATTGTCGCTGAAATTAAATTCATGAAATAAATACAATCTCAGTCTCTCTCCTCATTATATTCACTGCAATTGATATACACAGTAAAGGCAGTAAGTATTCAAAAAAGTCCTTTTGTATAATCGTTATTATCATTATTGTTGTGATTATACACTTTTATAGCGAACCCGTTCTCCATATGTTTTTTGTACAAAAATTATAATAGAAAAGTGTCACTAAAATAGCTTTTCTGTACACAAAACAAGTTCTTGTGCTTTGAATTGACATTGTTTTCAGTGGTAAATAATTTGTGATTTTCATATTTTAAGACATCAATAGATATCTTATATGTAATTGTATTCATGCTTTTGGTGTCGAATTTTTTTTGGTTAAAAGTATTGTTTGACATAAATATTTGAAGTTTAAGGTCATTGTGAAGGCAGTGGTAATACAATTGATCTGTGATTCTCATGCAAACCTTATTGAGATAATAATTATTAGTTTTGTTTTATTTTATGTAATAAATTATAATTGATAATTGTTTGAATATAATTATAAATGCTATCAGCCTTTTATTGTGATTGTAAATAGTTAAAAGTTTTATTTTATTATTATTTTTTTGACAAAACGCCTCCCAATGAACCATATCATTAAAAATGTATTGAATTTAATTAGGTTTATATTATTAATATTATTGATATATAATGTAAAAAATTAGTAATTATAATACACTTTTCTATATTTATTCTTTCATTTATTTAGTTTTTTTGTATTTATATTTAAATTATGTTCAAACATATGGTCCTAAAGTAGTTAAACAACTTTTTGTCGTTAATATAAATACCACTTCTTTTCATGTGTTAACTGAAAACTCAGTCATAGATAGACTCTCGGCATAAAAAGTTTGTGCAATTGTTATGAAAATATTATCGATAGATAACTATTTGCGATAAAGTATTAATCGAGTGGTTCTGAACGCTAAGTAAATATAAGATGAGTGCAAAGAAATAGATAATAAATATAAATAAATATATTTTTTTGGTGATCATCTCTGATAAAGAAAAAGTTAAATTGAAAAAAACTTTCACACAATTATTTTGGTGTAAATATAAAATAAAAGTTTTTTTTGTATTATATTATATTTCGTTGACATTGATCTACATTTTATGTGGGTTTTCATACAGAAAGAGAAATATAAATAATAAAAAAAAGTTTATTCAAGTCATAGCCATAGCAACTGTAATTTTACTGTGAATTTAACAGTGAATTCAGTGTCTATGGGAGAGAGCCGTAGACCGAGTTTGTGTGAAAAACCTGTGCCGATGGCCTACACTCTCATTATTAGATAACTCCTCTTTTATATACACTATTTTTTACTGTGAATTTAACAGTGAATTCAGTGTCTATGGGAGAGAGCCGTAGACCGAGTTTGTGTGAAAAACCTGTGCCGATGGCCTACACTCTCATTATTAGATAACTCCTCTTTTATATACACTATATTTTCATATCACATATAATCAAAACCACTCATTGAAGTCTAGTTTCCCGACCAGACCTCTCTCTCGCTGTGTATTGTATGAAAACAATTTCCAATTGAAAACTTCAATGTTTGCCAACAAAATTTAAAATTCAAATTATTGTTGACTTTTTTCTCCCATAAGATATTTTCACTTTAATTGTTGCGAAAAAGTTTTGTCTCGTGAAATAGTGAGAGTATTTTTCAACGTACAGTATAAAATATTTATGTGATATATAAATGTGTATTTATTTCATAGCAACTTATATGATGTGATAATTTATATGAAACCAACAATATTTTGATAATCAATTGTTTTATTATACGTTTGAAACAGTGTTTTGTTTGTCGCCAAACGAATTAAATGTGAATTAAAAGCAAACGTTAAAAATTGAAAATGAATTCTTGGGTTTGGATTCTGTGGAGAGTGTTATCCGTATCCATACATCTCATAGCCGTCTCATTGTATGGCTTTTCGTTGATCTTTCAATTCGTCTATCCGTCCGGTTATTATCCAAAACCACAAACCGATGACCAGACCATCAATTCAACCGATACTAAGGACTTCTCGTTTGGCTGGAAATACAAATACCTTACCTTTTGGAATATGGTATGTATTTTCCCCACATTTCATGTCATTTGTATATTTTTTGAATGACATTTTGTTTGTAAAAATGTATATTTCATTAAAATATGTTAATATTCATTGTCATCGTTATTATGTGCTGTGAATTGTGAAAGTAATCTCAGTTTTTTGCATTAAACACATGGTTTTCCTCATGAGATAAGCTAAACATTAAAAGGAAATCAAATGACTATTTTTGCGGTGACAGTAACTTTCAAACACAATATAGAAAAACTCTTTTGTAAAACTAGTTTTTATTATAATTCAATTGTTATCTGAATTATTAAAATGATTAAAATTATGGAAAAAATTCAAGCAAAAAATTAATTCCCATTTAATATTCATTAAAGCAATTAATCATTTGATTGAATCGATTCCAAAGGCCTTTCCTTACATATTAGGGGTATTTTTGGTTTTTAATTATTGAAATTATTTTGACATAAATTTACTTAAACTTGAGATTTAAATAAAACTTTTCCCACAAACATGTGATTTAAATCAGTTTTAAAATTTTTAAAAATTAATTAATCTTAAAACCATTTAATAGAATATTTGTTTCGTTTAACTAATGTTTCTTTCTTTCAGTGTTTCCTTATCTTTATATTTCGTTTACAATTAATTTAAAAATATTAAAACTCGAGTCTAGACTTGTATTTCTTAAACAGTACATAAGAAACAAAATAAAGTCATTTTACATACAGTATTAAAAATTATATTTAAATTTGTACATAAAAACAGCAACAAAATCAAGCAAAACCAGTGTTTCCTAATTAAACATAAAAAACTATTTGGGATGTAATACCATATTGGGATTGGGAGGCGGAAAGGGATCGCACTTATTGTCACTTTAATAAAACTAAACATTTATAATAAAATATAATTTTTAGGAAATAATTGCAAATAAATAATTTGTTTTTTTGATTTCTTACAGAATTTTCAATTCATTATATTTGCGATACACTTATTGTGTGATTGTTTTAAAGTGCATTATTTGCCCTCAAAAGCCATCGAAAGCCGTTTCACAAAACATTTATTCCGCATTCGGGACACACTTTTCCATTCAGTCCTCTTCCCTATCGGATGGGTATGTGTTATATGTGTTGTTGTATTGTTTGAAACCAATTTATTTTGTAAAACAATTTCTATCCTCAATCCATATACACATTATTGTTATAATAACCAAAAACAATGAGAACTATGTTTTAATTTTACTGTAATTAATCAAATTCATGACACAATATGTATCTAAATGTTTGTTAATACTAAAGAGACTACTATTTATCCCACAAAACACACCCTAAATATGCATTAAGTAACAAATTTAATGTATAAATTATTTTAGATATAATAGTCTTACGAAATAGTTATTGGATTCAAGTATTGAATGCCATTTGCATTGAATTAAAAGCTATTTATTATTTTTAAAGACCTCTTCGCACGCCTTTCCATAACATTATAAGATTACCGGAAAGTTATTTAAAGTGTTTAACTATTTTCCCCCTAAACTAAAAGTAAAATTTTTCTCACGTCTCGTCTCCTAAGCAGTCATTATTGTAATGAATTTTACGGACCGAAGGATTTGATTTAATTGTAGGCCTAATGTTAACAATATATTTGCAAACTTTTAAAATTTAAAACCAATTAAAACGCTATCATTGTTGGCATTGAATTGAATTATAACTATAGATGATTAGTGTTGTGTAACTCAATAATTATCGGATGAACACAACAACACTTAAAAGATATTTTTAAAACATTAAACTAAAAACTTAATTAACATAAAATTTACACAAAAAATATCATGAGTTAAAATATTTAAATTATTAAATCATTAAAATATTACAATATCTGGTAGTTTGTATCGACAATGTATTGGGCACTATATGTGATCAACAAGTCTTATGTGGTGAATGGTGCGGATCTGTATCCCTGGTGGATGACTCACTGCGGGGTATGTACTGTAGTTTACCATATTGTCGAGCATTCAAACTTGATTTTATTTACATAAATGTCATTCTATTTTGTTTTCATGTAATTGTCTGCCAAACAAACAGCACTCAATAGTTGTGCCGATTTTACTGCTGGAAGCGGTGACAACATATCACCGAAGATCAAGACTCGCGATCGAGATGTCAATACTGATGGTATTGATCGGCGCATACATAGTATGGGTCTATTATCTGGGTTTGGCTCAACACATATGGGTTTACGGTATTCTTCGTACGATGTCTTCTGTCAATCGTGCGGTCATTTTGTGCGGTTTCGCCGTCTATTCAATAGTTCTCTATCTTTTTGGTCTACTTTTGCACAAAATTGTTTGGCCTAAGCGTCGGGTCGACGCCTGGCCTCAGCAGTGGTCACCCGACGAGATATCTATCGGTCAGTTGGAGTTTGAAAACTTCAGAGTCAGACAGGGATTGATCCGTTGATTGACGTAAAAACATAGTATTTTTCAAAACTAATGCATTCATTGACTCTTAAATTGTATATATTTTAATGAAATGTACAAATAATTGTATTTTATTATTCATTTTATAATTCATTTTAATATTTGTGATATTTTTATGTATTTTTTTCATTTAAAGCGCTCATTATATTTCATACTCAGACCAAGTCTTTGAAAAATATATAATTATAAATCATTAATTAGTTACAAATAAATAAATATTTATCAATCAAAATAATGTCTATAATTAAATGCCTCTCAATCTGTGTCCCAATTGACAAAATAACGGCAACAGGTTTTTGGGCAAAAATCCCTCACCAAATGATTTAACATAAAAAGTGCTTTGAATTTAATTTTCATAAAACTATTGGTTAAATAGGGATACGATTTATATGTTGTGTTATTTTCGCGATTCAATTACTTTTCAATTTAGCACTCAATCGGTTCAGTCGTTAACCTATAATCCAATTGTTGACAAACAACTCATTTTACAACTAAAATAATATTCAATAAAACGATTCAATTTCTTCGGCAAATGTTATTATTGTTACCAAACATGAAATTTTTGTTTCGTAAAAAAGCATACGAGTTATCGTGTTGTATATTCTGTCTATTATAGAAAGATTAATTTATTTGTTGGTTAATTTCCCATCTTATTGAATGTGACGGCCAGGGGGTGGGGTTTGTTGTATAATAGCACGGGTTATGTAAGTTATGATTGATATGAGGGCACAAGTAGTGGTGGTATTAATATTGCACTTATAGTCTCCAGTTCTTTGATCCCTCGTCTCTAAATTGTTTGCATTCATAATAATGTTATTATTTCTTTTATAAAAATACAATATTTTATGAAAAAATAATTTTCTATGCATACAATTAAAGGAAAGGGTGTATAAAGTGCTTAATTGTTGAGATAATTTTGTTTTTATAGAAAGTTCAGATTATTTAATTGATAATTAATTATTACTAATTACTATAATAAAGAGTGTAATTATTACTTTATATTCAATATAAATTAAATACAGAATTATTATTAAGTTATGGTTAAAGTTATAACTTATTTTCAATTATAAATAGTTTAATCAACTCTTTATTCGAGTTAAACATATAAAAACATTTAAATACTGTATTTGAACGGATTTACTAATAAACATGTGATTCAAATCCAGGCGTAATATCAGTGACTAATAGACAAGATTTGCATTTATATTAGATTTTAATCAAGAGATTAATTCCGTTAACTTTCAGCACAAAGTTATTACAGTAGTATTTAAACAAAAATAATCTCAATATGAAATCAAATCTTATTTATGTCTCAATCCCTTTCAATATATTGATGTAAAAATTATAATAATATTGATTATAATTATAATAACATATGGTTTTGAAGCAAATTAAAAATACCGTAATTAATATTGAAATAAATGTGAGAATGAAATAGTAATTAATGTAAATGATGAATTATTTAGCAAATAACAAGCAATTATTTTTATATTTTCTAATTATATTGATTATAAGTCACACAATTAAGTGTAAAACTATTTGTGAAGACCTAAACCGAACATCAGTAAGAGTTTTAGTACTTTTAAAGTAATATAAATAAAAAGTTTACACAAGTTTTTTAACTACATTTTTAGCAACAATTGATTGAATCGAGAAATTTTCAAACCGAAAGTCATTACATAAAGACAAGCGATGGATATATTCTCACAGTATTTCGGATAATAAATCCGTATTTAAGACCAGATTTAAAATCAAATTATCGGCCAATTCTACTCCAACACGGATTCACATCCAATTCTGATGAACACATTGTCTTCAAAAGCGGTGCCATTAATGCCAGCGGTATATATAGTGAGGGAAATAATGTCACCGATTGTTACGAATTCAAAACTGTGGGCAAAACACTGGGGTTTGTGTTGTCTTCGTGTGGTTACGACGTATGGCTCGCAAACCTGAGGGGAAACAAGTACTCCACAAATCACACCACAATTGATCCAAAGGACAGTGACTTTTGGAGCTTCACTATCGATGAGTTGAGCCAAATAGACCTCCCGATGACTATTGACTATATCCTCAACCATACAAAGAGTCCGAAGATTGGTTTCATCGGGTATTCAATGGGAACAACACTAATGTTTGGATTGCTGTCAACGAAACCAGAGTTTAACGTCAAAGTAGATCCGATCATAGCGTTGGCTCCGGTCGTCTATTTGTCAAAACTACCCGATTATATGAAAAGGTGTACAATATTTCAACCACTCGTCCGATTGTTTCCAATGAAATTATTACAACAGGGAGAGTGGCGTCACGTGACCACTGAACTGCTCTGCGGCCGCAAACTGGCCGCTAATATGACATATAGGGACGCATTGGACGCCCATATAGTGGACGAGTCGTCGACAATGGTTTTGTCACATTATTTGCAATGGATTTCGAGGAATAGGTTCGATAAATACGATTACGGATGGCTTCATAACTATCGCCTGTACGGCAGTCCTAACGCACCCGTCTATCCATTGGCTAACATTACGTCCCAAAGAATAGTGTTGTTTGAGTCGCCGGAGAATGACTTCTTCAGCGATCAACAGGACCTCCAAAGACTCAAAAGTGAGCTCAAAGTGGATCTCTGGAGGGATTACGTGATTCCCGAAAAGGATTGGATTCACACCGACTATCTGTTCCACGAGAACGTCGACCGACACGTCGTCCAACTTATACTCAAACTATTAAAACTTTGACAACAAGTTTTGACTTTAAAGTTACATTTTTAAAATTTAGTTTAAATTTTATTTAACCGCAAATTTTATTAAATTTAAGTTTCATTCGTCTTCCACTCATTTATTAATTACTTCATTTATGTTTTATTAAAATGCATTTATATTATTGTTTAAAATCTTTACGAGTCGTTATCACAAATATGTGGTTTTAATAGTGACCTCAAATCTTTGTACAGTAAATGCCGTAAATTTATTTAAATATAATTAACAATTTATAACATAATACAAAATCATGATTTAACAAAAAAAAACATAAATACATTTGTCAATCAATTTATTACTGCTGGTATCAAAAGTCGTAATCGTCGTCATCGCTGACCAGAATCCCAATGCGATGACCAATAAATCTGACAGATTTGGTCACTTTCTCCTTCACTAAATTCAAAGACATGGCCAGTAATGCCATTCCGAACAGCAAATACAGGGCACATATAGCGAGCGTCATCTGTCCGTCGGCCGGGTGTGAGAGTACAGTCCTTCCGGGCACGAGATCGCCGAACCCTATGGTCGAGAGAGTGACGAAACAGAAATAGGAAGCGTCCAGAAAAGTCCAGTCCTCGGAGTTGGAGAAAAACCAGGCGCCGCCACAGATATAGCTGATCACTAGTGTTAGGCATACAGTGATTGGTATACTCTTTCGGGTGGACTCGCGCTCGTCGTCCGACTCCTCACTTTCATCGCTGGAATCGCCGCTCGTCTCCAGCGGTCCCCGCATTGGCGGCTGATATGCCATAACTGTTTGGTCGTTGAGTACACTCTGAGGGCCGTCGCCGAAGAATCGCACCGAATTCATGGTGTGTTTGGGCGCCGGTTGTTGAGTGAGTGATGCGTTCATTAATGTCTGGAAACTGGGAGGAGTGGCGGTCGGCGAAGGGGTCGGCGGCGGACCTAATATGGATGATAATTACATACAATATAGTAAACCATAGTTTATATCACCCCAAATGTGCAATACCTGGGAATCTGGAGGTAGACTCCATGATCTCGTCGTTAAGCGCATACTTATTGCATATAATAGGCGTCGAGTCATTGAAACGATTGGGTCGCCAGTGGTTATTAAATCCGCCGTAAGAGGAGTGTCCGCGTCGTCGGCCGTGCGGTGAAGACATGGACTGCAACTCCATTTGTTGTGAGGCCTGCAATCGTCGGCGACGGAATGACTTGCGTTTCTGTTGCGGCCGTCGATGGCGTTTGGGGGCAACGCATAGATAGCATAAGCACTTCCAGTATATGAATTTGAATGAGTGGGCCATCGCGTGACCGATCGATGACAAGCAAAACAACATCAGAGGAATGCCAATAATGGCGTACAGTATTGTCACCACTTTTCCCCAGTCTTATCAAAAGTTTGGATTTTTGTTAATCAATTTATATATTTATGTTTGTTTTCTTAAAGTTGATTTTATACCAGTTCTCGGGGCAATATTCCCGTAACCAATGGTTGTAATGACAATAATAGAGTAGAGCAAAGAGCCCGAGAATGACCACTGAGAGGACTTTCGGTTCACGTCATCACTTCCTATCGTTTTACAAATAATTTAATCAAAAATTTTATTCTTAAAGTCAAGTAATAATTTTAAATCTAAAACTTTGTTAAAAGTAATTTATTGGATTATTATTAAATTTTAAATTGCAATCCATTTATCAAAAATGATTATTAATAAAAATAATTGCATTTTAAAATTCAAAACAAAAATATAAAAGAGTTAACTTATGTTACAATTTAGTGGTAACGCTCTTAACGTACAGAATATACTGTACTGTATGTTATGTTAAGCCATAAACACAGAATAATTGGCTTCAATTCAACATCAATACAACACTAATATGCAATAGTTATAGTAATTTATAAACTATAACACCGTCTGAACTCTTCACTCTGTTTTCAATTAGTTATATTAATAAGTATTTTTAAATCCTTGATTTTGTTCAATAAATAACTTATATATTAAATATCAGAATTGGTCGAGAATTGCAAAATACATACAAACCATTTATATTCTTAATGTCTTAGAAAATAATTCGATATTTAATTGTTTTATATTTTAATTTTTAACGATAAGAATCAGTGAAATAGTTAGTAATAATAATGAATTAAATTTTGTTGGCAATCGTTGGGAAAGATAAGGATTTGAATCTTAATTTAAAATAATTATCATAAAATACAGTTAAAATTACGGCTAATCTTATTAACAAAGCGACTCATTATTCTCTAAACAAATATATTCTTTATATGTTTGGCTCAACAGAAAAAATTCTGAGAATTAAGTCAAACAAAAATATATATTTAAAGCGGTGTATAAATAACAGCTATTTTATTCATTACAATTAACTGTTTATTTAATATTTTAAGTCTTATTTATTTATTTAAGAAAATTAGTACCGATTAAAAAACAGCAAATGCTGTTAAATAATATATTAATCAATACTTACGGACATTAAATCACTTTAAATGTCCCGAAAATATGGTCATAAACATTATGATAAGCACTCATATAAGTTATATAAACAGCATATTTTAACCCAATAATGCCGACTAAAAAGTTAAAGTTTTGAGTTAACAGTAAAAATACTATTTTCTAAATTAATATTGATTGATAACTTAAATTTAAAACATTAAAAAGCATTACATTTGTATATTTAACAGAATTGAATGCAATTCGCAGCTATTGTTTGCCAAATATTGTTAATACAAACCGTCGTAACCCTTGCGGAGGACGGCCTCGAGTAGTGTCTTCTCAAAGTGCTGTAACGTGTCTTTGGCGGCGACCGTCCACTCGTGTTGGCTGAGGACACGACTCTCTTGGGTGATATTCCAGAGCTGTTGAATCATATGCTCGCGAATCATCAACATCTCCAGCCTCTGCTTCTCCTCGTGTTTGAGCTCCAGTGCCTGGAAAGTGAAGGCACCCATCAGTGCGTAGCCTATGAGGAGAGTGCAGAGACCGATGTGCGAGAACAGAAATGTGGACACTTGGCGGCAATAATAGCAACATTTGCCGCATCGGGTCAGATGCTTACGGCCCGTCACCGCCATTATAGCAATCCCAAAATCACATCTTTTGCATAACTTATGTTCAGTTATTATCTTAAATCAGATCAACATTTTTCTTATCACTTCTTTCATTGAGATGTTCTCTCAAACTGTTATACAATTTGTTTGAAGCAAAGTCTGGGCCGAAGAATGTGTGCACAAAATCAGTGCCATTCGTGTGAAATGCAATTCTCAATGCATTCATGTCTTACACAACAGCAAAAACAGAGATATAACACACACTCTCTATCTCTTTCTGCCTTATAATCAACTAATAATAGATTTCTTAAAATAAAGTTTAAATTTAGACCAATTTTTCGCCACTAATTTACACACTCTTCAAACTATATTTGCAAACACTCTGTACTTGTATTTCTCGTACAACAGTTTTCCATTAGTTTACGTATTCTTATTGTTATTACAATTGCAAACAAATTCTTTCATCAGTTGGCAAACAATATTTTATAATGAAATACACTTTAAATATATCCATAAACCCTATCCATCACTGCATTAAATGACATAACACCAGAACTAAACAACTATTCTCTATATCACAGGTAAGGATAATATTTAAATTTGTTAACAAAATTAAATAAGTTTTGTATAAATTTGTTTAAAATTGAATCTATTAATACACTTTTGAGCGCAAATATAAACATCACATTTGATTAATTGCATTAAATGTGAAGACAAAGCATTTTAAAACTAGTCTAAACTGTGGCCTAAAAATAGACGACATGCAAAGAGTTTTGCACTCATGTCTTGCGATCACCAGAAATAAAAATATTGATATAACTGTTAACTCAACAAATATTACAACTTATAATTAATCAAATGTTTAATACTATTCTCCAAAAACTTAATAATAATACCAATGACTTTAATATTGCATTACATAATAAACAAATGATTATTAATTTATCAATTGTCTAAAATAAAAATATAAATTAGAAAAACAAACATTTTTTATTTCTACCATAAAATAAACGCATATTTTTTTGGTTAATTGATTCAAAACAACAAATATTATGGTCACAAAAGAATATAAGAAATCAAAGTTTGAATAAAAAACAAGTCTATGAATAAATAATTACGACTTTTAAACACAAAATATATGTTAGGATTATATTTATGAAGGAAACGGATTACAAATTAAGATCTATCTATAAATTGTGTGTATTTTAAATGTAATTCGTATCGAAAATATTTGTAAATCTATAAAAGAAATGTCAATAAAATTAAATGAAATTTGAAATACTTTTGCTTTTGTTTTTTAGTTTAAAAATATTTCTTTTAAACAAAGAATTTTAGATTTTATTTCAGTCGAATTGTCGGAATGTGTGTTAAGTCGAGATTAACTGTTAATAAAATAAGAAATCAATTAATCAAAAGTTAAACAAATTAAAAACCATCAAAATTACCGCGAATTGGAATCCGCCGATTGTGACCGACTCGGAGGAGTTCGTGGCCGTCCGCCGCCATCCCTCACATGTCCTCCGCCTCCACTGCCGCGTCTGTACGGACTTCCCGAACGACTTCGTGACCTTTTGAGAGGAAGATAATCAAGAAGTGAAGTGACGACTCGTTGAGGAAGTACTACACGAAGAAGTGATGCACTCTTTGTGTCAATTGACGAATCGATAGGAATAGGGGTTTGTTTGAGAGGAGAATGTCATCGCATTTATTGACTCCTAAATTATAACAGACTAATCGAGGCTTAAGAGGAAAGTGTTGGAGGGATTGTGGATATATGTGGAAATGTGTGATCAGAGTTGCGTTCGGTATTTCATATGAAGCGTGCTTTTGATGCGATGGTTATGTCGACCACAATATAGAAGTGGAAGAATTGGTATAACACTAATAATGCCAACCATTTGAAAATCACTTCTTTGTCTCATTTCTCTCAGCATTAAAGAGACAGACATTTTGTTTTTGTGAGATATCGATCGCTATTAAGTGTCAGTCGTGAGCGACAGACGAAGAATGGACTCATATTTCTGTGCGGAAACTCATTGTGAGAATTCATTTCGAGTATTAGTTTTTTGCGGCGAATACACAGACATTGAGGAAGTGATTGATTTGATTGATTGATTCCTTCATTGAATGGCATGAAGTTATCATTGAGTGAATTGAAGTGTAATTCATTTGTTTCTCAATGTTTTGACATTCAATTTGCGCTAATAATTAAAATATAAAGAATATTCCTTAGCCTTACGTTACAACTAATATTTCAATCATTTTCATCATTAAATCAAATAATTAAATATTAAATCACATATAAATTACTAAAAAACATACAATACTTATAGAAAAATCTTAATAAATAGTTAACAATACTTATTGTCTAAAATGAGTGCCAAATACTAAACTCTATAAATGACTAAACAATTAATTAATTAATAAACAATTAAGATATTAACAAAAACAAATACTATTTTTTTAAACTAACCGTCATTTTGAGTCTCAAATAACATCAAATCAATGCATACCTGGAGTAACGCCTTCCTCGCGGACGCGAAGAGTATTCCTCCCGGAAGTCATCTCTTCGCGAGTCTCTGTAGCCCTCTCTTCGCGGAGGCCCTCTCGACGGCGGTCCACCCCTATGGCCGCCACCGCCATAACCACCACCGCCTCCACCGCCGTATCGATCGCCGCCGCGTCCGCCATAGCCTTTGCCGTCGTGTCGGGTCTTTCCGGTCGACATCTCAACCCTCACTCTTCGGCCGCAAATCATTCTTCAGACAAACAAAACAAATGCATTAAAACACGTGTCACACAAGACATGAGACCAATTGGTATCTCAAGAGTGTGTGAAAGAGTGGCAATGGATGCGTCCATACTTGCCGTCGAGGGCACGACAGGCGTCCTTCGCGTCGCGCGAGTCCTCAAACATGACGAACGCAAATCCCGGTGGGTTTGTGGCGACCCATACGTTACGGAGCGGTCCATAGGAGCGGAAGGCGTCCTCCAACTCCTGTCGGGTGCCGTTTGTGCCCAACTCTCCCACATAGACCTTGCAGTCGATCGGACACGACTCGCG